ATCATGTGAAGCTAACTTTGATATAGTCTAGCATAAATAAATGCCTGAACATCATTGTTAGTAATTCTTCATTGAAAACATAATGCAGTGTCAAAATAAACCATGATGACGCGAACTGCACAAGGGTGATTTTCGACAAAGAAGTGCTATGGGATTGTTGTCCATCATATCGCAATCAACAACAAACACTCACCGAAGTCCAACAACGTCCATGAATTAGGTTTTGATTCCCCGGCAGGACCTCTTCCAAAAGATTTCGAGTCCCCAGCAGCAAATCTTCCATACTTATTCTCAGCCATGTCTCTTATTTTAGTCCTGTATACCACAAACAGAATCACTATCTCAAATTACTCAAACTAACTCTCTGTTTATTCTGTAAGCAGTAATGAAAATCACTTGGTCATGCATGGTTCATTTGTAAAAGCTCCGGGTAAATTAACAAGAAATACCCAATAGCATCAATCTGAGGCCGAGAAAATGCCGTGGCAATAATAAAAAACCGAGTCCAGTAGACTAGAGGTTTGACAAAGAGGACCTTTATGTCACCAGCCTTGACCTCGCTTGCTACTTTTGCTGCAGCAACAGCAACTACAAAAAGGGTAGAAATTCTATCAAATCCTTTGTTACATGGCCAATTAGAGACAGGGAGAACATCCAAAAACTAAGAGGAAAAAGAGGACGCTACAAGAAGGAGGGTAGATACAGGTAAATTAAAAAAAAAAAAAAAAAAAAACTTGGGCATGCAGAGCAGAGTAGAAGTGGTTTGAGCGTAATGTCATTGGCCCTGAAGACAAACCATGGCTGATGCAACCGTTTGACACAGCAATTTAGAAGCCTAAAGCTGTAGACAACCCTTTTTTTTTTCTTTTTGGGTGGGTGGCGGGGTGGGGGGTGGGGTGGGGGGGGGGAGGGGGAGGGAGCTTACAGGACAAGCTTTCAGCATCATCATCTATCTCTGCAGCAGCAGACTTGTGATCGCTACTTCGATAGATTACCTTTCCATGTTTTTTGAACAAGTCATCGAACATATCATCAGTGTCTACACTACTTGCATCCTGCAAGAATACTACTAGTACACATCATTATGATTGTCAACAACAAGCGAAAAAGCACCGAGTCTGAGAAGTTCTGAATTGAAGTTCTTCCAACAGCCAAAATGGTTGCTTTCTCGCTTTTGCGTCTCAAAACTTGATGATAATTGGGGCCATTAATATCAACATATACAATCTTGAAACTAGCTTTCATACACTTGGTCATGAAATAAAAAGGGAAAAAAAAAAAAGAAGAAGAAGAACAGTAGTCACAAGCTGAAGATAAGAGCAGTGAGAAACAGTATCAGTAAATACTAGATGTGAATAGTGAATTACCGAGCCGAAAGCCATAGGGGAAGATAGAAAAGAGGGTGTGGAAATAGAGAATTGGGGGTTGGCAGAGAAGCCCAGTTGCAGGAGGGAGGCATAAGCACCACGACAATGATGAGGATGAAGGAGAGGCGGGCAGGAATTAAACATTGCGGGACGGCCCACCAGTGGAAGAAGCATGTAAGCTTCAGGGATGCATAAATGGCGGCGGGGGAGGTGGACGGGGGGAGATAATAGAGTTGCAGAAAAGGTAGCGGAAGAGGGGAGAGAGTTGGGAAGGTGGAGAAGAGCGGAGTTGAATTCCATGGTTCCTTGTATGATTGTAACATAAAGCTAAGCTCCTGAACTATTTCGAGTTAAGCGAGGCAGAGAGACAGATGAGGGAGATTTGGGTGGGGGTGGGAAACCAAGAAGATACTTGGATTATTTTTCTGCAGCTGGCTTTCCTCTTCTGGGCTCTGGGGGTCCAGGATGGTATTGGATCATCGCAGCAGGCAGCAGGAGGCTAAAGGGATTTTCCACACTGGATTTGCACAACAAAAAAAACCGGCTTTGGATTCTGGTCAGGCCTGTTGATGTAATGTTCACTTTTTGAAGAAAAACCCAAAAAAAAAAAAAAAAAAAAAAACACACTTTAGAGGAAGGAAGAAATAAATAAATAACCATTGCTAACCTTAATAAACAATTATAAAAACTGATTCAACCATTGCTTCCTTTTCCTTTAGAGGAAGGAATGGCGGTCACTGCTTCATCTTTGTCTGCCTCATGCCAAAAAAGTGTGTGATGAACATTTTTGGTGTCCACAAATAAATTCATCGAGAGAGCCCAGATACATCATACTAAAATTCGCTAGAGGTGAAAATCTTCTCTCTTTTCTTTCCTTTCATGACTTGACACCCAAATAATGATTAAATCGGTGCTGGCAGCATCAGATGTAAAAATTTGGAAAAGAAACACACTATCCTGGATCAGTGGTTTTAGTTTGTGCCCGAATTGAACGCCTCAAATGTAAACAATTCCCAGCGGTGATAAGATTACGGTAAAAGCAATACTACTAATGTGTTTCTTGCTTTCTTTCTTTCTTTCTTTCTTCTGGATTAAAGTACGCGTTCTCCCGTCTGTCTGAAAGCCTAACTGGCAAAGTTATTTCGCAACGAATTCTAAAAGTCAAATTTCAGGTAAAAAAAATTAAATCCTAAAATAATGACAACCCAGCAAAAGATTAAGAGATTTCTTGGTGCAAGCCATATGCACACCACACCATGAAGCGATGAGTCGATTTTGTAACGCTAACTCAACGAATTATCACTCATCAAATATAATTGACATCATCATCATAACAATAAAGGAGCTGAGCAGGTCGTTCGGTTCGGGAGGAGAACGGGCATTTTTTTTTTTACTTAATTTTTATTTTCAAATTCGAGGGGATCGATGCTGGGATATAGGAGGAGCACTTCTCAGGAATTCTAGCCGCCGAAGCAGAAATCCAGGACCCAGCAGCAGCAGATTGCAGCAACATAATAGGTACAACTTATTAGTTTGATACATGCACTTGGTACTACCCCATACACACAACGAAAATACTACTAGTATGTAGTATTTGCTTCTGGTACTGCATAGTACGTAGTAGTACAGAGAAAGAAGGAAGGAATGCGCTAGCTGTAGTCGAAGAAAATGAACTTTTACCATCCTTTCCAAAACCCTTCGCCTCTACTGGATGCAGTAGCAGTATGAAGGTCATGGCCATCATGGCCTTGTCTCCGTCTCTCGTGGCCGGATAACCGATCGGGGGAGGCGCCATCACGTTTGAGGAGTATCCGGCCATTCCCTGATCCGTTGCTGCTTTTACTGTTGGGGATGGTGGAGGATATGCAACTGCTGCATCATTTCATTTGCAAACGAGTATCACCAGATTTTTTTGGTTGAGAAGCATCTTTGGGTTATGGACACAGACGCATACATATTGCATGATCTTAACCAAAGCTTACCTGGTTGATTATAGTTACTCATGCGTGATGGCTAAATTGATTATGCGGTGATCACTTGCTGGATTGACAAGGGATGATCACGATTCATACAACTCACAAGCCTTCTTGTCGGGGGCGAAGAATGGAGATATGCCCGGCTCCCATGTATAAACATATAACATATAGGATGGCCCTCAAATTATTAAGTAGGTAGATTTTTAACCCTCCTCCAGCTACTAAGCGTATAATTTTTGTCCCTCAAGCTTGGAAAAGGCACCCTTTTGGCTAGAGATAATTTTAGAAAACTCCCCTCAGATTTAAGAGTAAGGTTTAAAAGTTGACTAACTATATATATATATATATATATGTAGTATAGTATAGTTTGAGAACCATTCAAATTTTTTACCCTATACATGCACGCTAGTATCATCTACGTTGATGCAGAAGAAATTTGAGAAGATGTTTTGATCAAAATTGATCGCAGGAGGGGTGGAAGGAAAGAAGAGTATTATGGCAATAATACCATCTGAATATTTGATCACATCTGGACCATGATGCCAAGATATGATGAGATTTGGTAGGATTTTATTTTATTTGACTATGATTTTATTATAATAACTGATTGATATAATTAAAATAATTAATTGACCTGACCAACAACACATTCCTTTTTTTAACTCTCTTGTATTCATTCAAGCTTATGAATATATGCCCCTTCAGCTCTCTTGTATTCAAGCCAGCAAATAGGCCTTGTGTTAGACATTGGAAATCACTTAATTTATCAATAAAATCCTCTTTCGTTCTTTAGGAATTTTCTCACGGTGTGTAACAATTTGGCCGTGTCATATATCTTCCAAATATTTCATGCATTAATTCTTTTACTACTACTAATAATTTTTTCAGTATTGGTATATGTTTTTTTTTTTCTTTCTTTTCTTGTCAAATTCTGGACGCCCAGTTCCGTCAAATTTTCCCGAATTGTTGTTTATTCCTATCTGCAAAATTGATCCTTTGCGGGAAGCTCAAAAAGAAAAAAGAAAAAAAAATCATGGTTCCGTCCTTATATTAATTAATTAATTACCTTTGCCTCTTTCGAGGCCGGTCACCCCTTCACGTCCGGCTCCGGCTGCACTTAATTAGCCCTTTTAGTTTAGTGATGATGCTAATAGGAGAAGCATTATTGACTACTTCAAAATTAATCCAATTATATATTTTAATAAACACACCCTCAACGATTTGGATGGTTTCAAAGATTTGCCGAGGCCCGAGGGGTGGGATATAAAAAGTAAAAACATTCTCCAGAATATGATCACAGATAACTCTATAGGCCACAACGCTGCTGCAATGGATGAGAAATCGAAGATATGAATGGGCCAAAGTGATAGCAAACCTACTTTTCCGGCAGTCCAATAGATGGATCCACCCAAGCAGACGCAAACAAAGTGGGCCGTCAGCAACACCAGATCCACTACCGTCCTTCGATCGATTGCACATACCATTTATTGGATTCCAAGTGAATGGAATGGGCACTGACAAGTGACAAGAAAGGCATTTTGCCACCATAAATATAAATACGTCTCTTGTTGTTTGTTTTGTTCTCCAATTTAACCTCCCATAAACTCTATTCCTACTTCACATGCCTCGGAAAAGAGCCAGGTTGCATGTTTGCAGATCTCAAACTTCAAACCGGAACATGGGAATATCTTGAGAGGATTTTATAGAAAAAAAAAAATGCTATACAACTACCAAAAATTATCCCCCTACAGTTAGTTACAAGTTATAACAACTGGAATGCCAAAAAATAAGTCCGTCCCCCTCTAATGGTTACAGCAGAATTATCAAAATGCTACCATTACAAGAAGAAGAATGAATCCCTACCTTGGTAGCCCAGCAACACCGCTTGGATCTCTCTCTTTCTCTATACATGTCTAAATGGAAGCATACTCCAATTCATCGTACTCACTCATTTAGTCATCTAACTGTCGAAAAATCCTGGCCCAGCCTTTGAGAGAAGTTCCTTGCCCGCATCCTTGCCCATGGCAACCATTTCTTCAAAAGTGTATGAACCTTTTCTGGAGGTTTCAAGAACTGGAAAGGACAGCAGGAATAATACAAAGATGAGGACAGAGCTGTGCTAAAAGCTTAACATCTCGTTTGGCAAACAAAGATGTGTCAAAATTTTGGTCTTTACCTCGGGTACCATCTGGGGAAGCCACCAATCCTCTAAAGACACAATTACCATCCTCGTCCCGTGAAGCATATCCAGCTATTGGCGTGCGACAAGACCCATCAAGCGTTTCTAGAAATGCTCTCTCACATGCAACAGCCAACCTGGTTTCGTCGTGGTTCAGTGAGGCTATAAAACCGGCCTGCAGTAAACATGGTTGACTGAGACAAACACGCAACAGCGGACATAGAATCTTCCAAAAGAACTACGTGAGAGATTCAAAATACGCTAGAAACCAAGATAGAGAGCCTCCCATGAACCATATCAACTATATACTTTCTTCAGATTTTGACCGAAAATCATTAAAATAAAATGCAGCAATATAGCAGCAAAGATCCATCACAGAGTACGATAGTTTACTCTTAATTATTGCCAAAGGTAAAACACTATAAGCTCTTGAAAATCAAAGTTAAAAAAAAAAAAAAAAAAAGCATAGAATCATTCACCGCACACAATTAATGCATTTTACACGTACTCTCTGCAAACAGTTTTACTTGCACGAACCCAGCCTATGCCTTTCCCGACATCTAACTAAGTGATGAATCCCATTATATCAGCAGAAGATATGTACATCTATTCAAGAGACAGGAAACTCTTCTGGTTTATCAGGGAGATTTCCCGAAGCAAAGCACAATGCAACAGTAACACGCATCAACGTAATAAGACGCACGTCCAATCGTGTAACATTTTGAAACCGGTGATAGGATATGCATCCAAACTCCATCTTAGCAAGGTTAAATTGAATGGGAAAAAACAAGCAAATTGACAGAGGAGAGGAGAAAACTAGAAATATCCAGTAGAACAGCACATACCATCTTCTCATCATCACTTCTACATGCAATTCCAATGGCCCCTTGAGCAACAGCTGGAAGCATATCATCTATAGAAAGAATAGAAGTGACATTTTCTGTCATATTTAGACGCTTGAGGCCAGCTAATGCCAATAATGTTGCTTGGACGACTCCATCATTCAGCTTTCTTAACCTAGTCTGAACATTCCCTCGAAAGTTTTCAAGCACCTATGGACAAAAGCTCAATCAGGAGCAATAAAAACAAGCAAAAGAAAGATAATGGTAACCTTGTGCCCAACCCTAACTTCACTAAGACTGGATGCAAAAGCATTGAAATAAATTCAACTGAACATCCTAGATAGTGAACTTCTCTGGCTTAAAAGATCAAAAGAGTGTCAACTAGTGGTGGAAGTAGCTGGTGCCTATGAATTGCTCAACTGCACAAGGACCTGTTGATGAAAATTGATCACTTCCTAGAATATATGCACTTCTATCCTAAAGTGCAAACAAACAGAAATTGATTTGGATTTAGGACACAAAATGCTCTAGTAAATTAACTTATCTTAAGTTAGTCCAGCAAAAAGCATCAAAGAAGGATGAGATTTGATGTTTGTTTGTGACAACTATAATAGAAATTTTCTGCCAAAAATGGAAGTCAGAATACAAACTTTTTTTTTCTTTGTTGGGGGGGTGGGGGGCCTGAGGAAATTAAAATTTTCCCTAAACACTCTTTTACATCTTAAAATTAGATTAAAAAGGGGAAAATCCTCCTGTTTATATGCACTTTCAATTCCATTCAAAGAAAACAGCTTCAAAGATATAAACGTCGCTCTTGCCTTTACTTATGTGAGCTTCAAATTTATTGCCAAATATAGCATGCATAATATAAGAAGAATTAACTAGCTATGCTTCTCAGAAATAATGCTGGTAATATTAAGTGTCAACCTGATAACAATTTCCTCATCTCCTGGCGAAAATAGCAATACTATTAGAGACCCTCGTCATGACAATCATCCATATCGTGCTCACCTTAAGAGATGGATAACGATGAAGAATTTGTGATTTCCTCCGCAGCGAAGCAGTACCCACGACTGCTCCAGCTGGAAGATCTGCCAGTGAAGTTGCAGTTAAAGAAATAAATGCATCACGTACATCCTCACGGGGAAGATTGCAAGGCAAAATTGTCTTATCAGGCAAATATGTAGGAACATCTTTCATTGAGTGAACAGCAATATCAATGTCTGCATTAATGAGAGCCTCATCTATTTCTTTGGTGAACAAGCCCTTCCCACCTATGTCTGCTAGTGGCTGGCTTAAGATTTTATCACCTGTTGTTTTTATTATCACAATTTGAATTGCCCCCTCTTCAGCCAGTTCTGGATGAGATGCTATCAATTTGTCCCGTGTCTCATGAGCTTGTGCAAGAGCTAGTGGACTGTCCTACACAATGAAGACTTGTATATGTGAACCATAAGAGAGGCTACATAATGAATAGCGGGAGCCATTCTATATGCAGGTGGAATTACCCAATGGCAATCAGAAGTGCAGAAAATAAAAACAGGAGGGTGAATATAATACAGAAGCAGTATAGTGTTCTAGGAGTCAAAACATCACTTTGCATCGATACTATGGACATAAATTGGTCAATTAGTTAGCTCAAGAATACATGAAGCAGCTACTCATTTTTTCAGTCATGTTTTGGTTATGAGACACTAGGGGGCGCTTTTTGCTCATTATTTTTCATATTTCCCGAGGATCTGATAGTATAAGAAAGGGATAAAATGATAAATATGATGGTTGTCTTTCTTATATGTCAACCATGTTAGAAAGGAAAAAGTGGAAATTTTTATTCATATTCTCTTATTTAAGTAGTAAATTCTGGATTAGGATATGCATCAGTGTCATAACTTGAGGGCATGGTGTCTATGTTCCAAGGAACTGGATGAAGGATCTGCCTCAAATCTTGAGTTCTTTTCAAGCGACCACTCGCAAGTTAAAAGGTGTCTCTGTCTTCCTCTTGAAAGAAGCAAAAAAGGAACCAAGGATAATTAAGCGTGTCAAAGCAGACGCAACACTCTTCAAGCACTCCAAAATCCTAAAGGCAAAAGAGGCTGTCAGTAGATTTTATTTATCCTAAGTCAAAAGAAACATGGGTTTCTACAACACTGCAAAAGCTCGGTTCCAAATGGTTGATATCTTCTGAGCTCTCATAAAGGAAGAAGAGAAAACTAAATTTCTAGCTCATGTTTACCATGTATCATGGACCCTGATAAGTAGTACCAACTTAAACAGGGAACAACTGCCAAAAACAAAATCCTACCACATTGATCCTTCCATAAGCAATCCCCAAAAGTTTGATGAGCAGATCGGTGAGTTCAACTTAAACTCTTTGACTAATGTGTTAAGCAAAACTAATTCCATCCAACAAAATATGCTCGCTAGACACATTAACTAAATCAGTTCGACTAGCCTATGCTTCTATTTGTGTCACGGAAGATTATTTTCCATTAACTATAGTTCATTTGAAATATCCTAGAAATGTTATCCAAAACCGGCAACAAGATCCAACACAACAGAACCAATCAACCGAACCCATGTTTTCTTGAATAACAAAAATCAATAAGGAAGCTGCAATGAGCATGACAGAAGAAGATTCAATAATCCAGTTGCTGCTGGATGTTTTTTTTTTTTTTTTAAAAATAAAAAAAAAAAAAAAGCTTGTTCCACAAAACAAAAGAGCAATCTTTAAGCAACAAATGAAGAAAAAGAGAAGCAACAGTACCTCCCTCTTGTTCCAATTCTTATGACAGCAGTCTTAGTCTGAGTGTGGTGGTGTTCAACAGCAATGGAAGAGCTAGTCACCAGAGTTTTCCTGCGTTGATTTGGAGGGGCAGAAGTTTTATGGGACGAAGGCAAAGTAAATCCAAGAGCTGAGACGGAAGAGGCATAGGCGAAGTTGGAGGCGAAGGGTCTTGGGTTACTAGTGAGGAAAGGATGTTGATTTAGAGTGCAGGTGGATACGGTCTCCATCGGATTGGATGGGATGGGACGGACGGATGGATGGATAGGGAGGTTGAATTGAAGAAGGCAATGAAGCTTGAAAGAGCTGAGGGAGTTTGTTTTTATGAACTATACGGGAGTGGGAGTGGGAGTGGGGTTTTGGGTTTGACAGCTTATCCTCCAGCTCACCCACCTGAACCGAATCCGGCCTTTCAGCCAGCGAGGCCCATTGAAGATTTCTGATGAAAATGTGTAGCACAGATTGCGTCCGTCCTAAACACATTGGATACCTCACTCTGGTTGATATGGGCGAAATCACTCCAGAGTCCAGAGGGACCAGAGGGTCGGTTTGTCATTAGCAAAACCAGCAAGCAATTTTGGTAAGTGCAAGAACAACCAACACTATCACGGGCCGGGAATGGGGATGGCTTTGTGTGAGAAATCTCATCTGCGACCAAATAAAAGCAGAGCCCACAATTGGCCCAAGTCTGTGCGTCTAACATACTCAGCCCTCATGCATGCAAGTAATCACTTGCAGACATTACATTTATCTTCAATTTGAGAAATTACGCTAACCATCTTTTTATGGACTAATGTGATACAGATTTTATATTTTTAAGGATTAAGTGAAACAGATTTTATAGTTTAAAGACTAAAGTGTTGAGACTTAAGGTTAAAGAGAGTACTTCAAATATGGTTGAAGAGTCGCAGCGTGAAAATGTGTTGGATGCGGCATAAATGTATGGCGTCCAAACTTTATGAAAACCAAAAATGCATGGAAGAAGCACAGGGCGAGAAGCCATATGTGTGTTATGGGCTCGCGCGAGAAGCCATAAGCGTATGGAGCAGGAAGAACAAAGATCAACTAGTATTCATTAATTATTGTTGTTTTACTTTACAGCGAAGCGAAGGTGAATCGGAAGCAAGATCAGAAGAAGATCGATTCGAGGCCATATAATAATTTTATTTGTGTTGGTCGGTATGCAAAATTAAAGGGCCTGGTCTGAACTCTGATGATGCGTGTTAATAATCTTTCTTGATCCCAATTAAAATAATATATTATTGTTGCCACATGGGCCGAAACAAGTACACTAAGTAAGAAACGACAACAACCATTTTACTGTAATTACACTACTGATTACTGGCTGATGTGGCTAGTGGCCCGGACGGGAGGGTTAATTTATTGGCTCTAAACTACTGTAATTAAGGGGAAAAAAAAAAAAAAGAGTCTGTTCTGCTTGTCTCCTGAACTGCAGCTACTCTGTCTGAGCGGCGCACGGTTGATGCCCTCGTACCACTATATATATATATATATATATATATATTACAATAATATTTTATATCTGTGGACATTAAAGGTGCATATAGCTGGATTTATTTTCTACCTCAGAAAGGAAGGAAGGTACACCTGGCAAGCATAAATATATATATATATATATAATTATTCTATTTTTTTTATCGTATACGATAAATTTAATCTATCCTACACTAAGGGGAAGGAGGCGAGCCTAAGGAGATCCAGAAATAAATCGGAGGGGACTGAACCACCACCGGATCAGACCGGTACACAGCACACCCGCCTGAATTTTTTTGAAAACAAGCTACAGAAATATGATATGTTTGGTGCCTTGCCTCCCACCCCACCAAGTAGGTGGTGACCACTCAGCCAAAGGCCCAATGATTTATATTATTATTCTATCTCAGAATTGTTTCTTTATAAACTACCACCAGTAGCAGTTTATTATATAATATATTATTATAATAAGTAATGATACGGCTGCGTGGTAATTGTATTTATTAATCAAGAGCGAGACAAGTCACGTCTTGGTACATTGGGTTAATATTAATTACTATTGGTGTAGGACAGCGTCCTTGGGGAGTGGGAGGCTAGAACGGATCTGACAAATGCTGGCAATAGAAAATAAATACTACTACTGGTACTAGTACTCAATTACCAACTGACACCGTTTTGACCCGTACGTATATGGCTACAAAATCAAACTGAGACAGTACTACCAGTACAATGTAGTCCACTTGCGGGTTAACTTTCCCTGCATCGGTGGTAGGTGCCATCAGAGAGAAGCGTTCTGGATTGGAGGATATTCATATTCATATTCATATTGTACAGAAGAATAGACCGGAACTTTTGGTCCCCTCTTCTTTAAGTACGTACTATACTTAAAAAAACTTCGATGAAAGAAGAAACAAGAAAGAAGGAGAAGATGAATAGAGTATTATTGGGGTGTCAATAATGGCAAGTTGCACTAGAAACCATGAAAAAGATAAAAATAAAACCGTCCAGGATAATCAATGCCAAGTTTGTCTGTTATAAATTTTTTAAAAATTTTAGTTACAGTAACTTTAAAAAATTTTTCAAAATTTTTAAATTATACATTTCAAAATATTTAAAAAATATATATTTAAAATTTTTAAAAAAATTTTATAATAAATTATAATAAAATTTTAAATAAACATTAAAAAAACTCACTTGCCAAACGGGCCGAGCTGTATTGACACTGGAGTTGTGTTTCATGGAAATTTCCTTCCTTCCTCCCTGAATCGGTGGTCAAAAGATCATCATAGTCGTAAAAGGCAGGATTTCGGGTGACATACTCCGCTACTAGTAGTCACTAGACTAGGTAAGGAGTAGTCAATTAACCACGTGTCAGTATAAATAAAGTGTGAGCTGGAGGAGCGTGGTGTGACTGCATACGGCCATTACCATTACGTAATACTACTACTTTGTCCTGGAATGGGCAGCAAGAAGCCTGCCAAAACCAAGCAGCGGAAACAGCCGTCGGAACAAATTCTCCGCAGGGGTCCTGCATCCTCTCCGCTGCTAAGTGCTGCTAACTTCGGCTGCTGTCCTGCCCCCTCGTCAGAATTCCACTACTAGAAGCAAGCCCCCCGCACCCCCGGCCCGCATCTCTCTTTGTGGACAAAAACAACAGAGAATCCCCATTTCATTCATTCGCCATTCTGGCCCCGCACTGCCCTTTTCTCCACTGCACACGTGACCCATCCCTCCCACTGCCACAGCAGAGCAGAGAGGAGGCACTCCTACTCCATTAAAATGGGTGACTTGAATTAAAAGTAAACAGTTCCGTTTGGAGGAGCGTCTTTCCATATCAAGTAACTGGAGCTTTTCAGTCCTTCACCATGTCCCCCCCCCTGCACGGGAATATGTCAAAATTATTAATTTTGAAAGTTACAAATATTTATAAATTATAAATTGTGTTTCAATATAAATTAAGCGTTCAATTTAATTATAGTCTTATTCTTCAACTTTCCCTCCTGAAAAGAAAATGAATTCTAATAGTTCTATCTTAACAATGCATCTTCAAGTATTTTCTGTCATTGGCGCAGATTGTTTTGTCAAATAAATCGTGCTGGCCAATTTTCAGTTAGTTTATTAATAAAACTTTCTTTTATTTTAAAAAAAAAGGAATCTTGAAAAATAAAATTTTGGCAATTTCTAAAAGAAAATAAGGTAATACGCAATTACTGATCTAATAAATGATGAAGATTGATAATTGATGGAAGATTGCGTGCTCCGACAAATGCTTGCCCAAGTCTTCCAAAAGCAAGCAAAAACAAATCCCTAAAGAATCGCACATAAAGTAATACGGGATTGACACAAAACTCTCGTGTTGTTGTTGTTGTTGTTAACATAAATTAGACTGAGTCAAGAAAAGGCAAGTGCTTAAATAATCATTATTTGCATACAAATTATTTACTTGTATTATAAACATGTTTTTTAATATATATATATTTTATTTTACATGCATCATATTATAAAAATATGTTATATTAATTATTTCATATAATATTTTAAAACACTCTCGAGAGGAGGGGTTTTATAGCAACCGCTGAATAGGAATGAAAATAAAGACAAATACAAACATTAAAAAAAAAACGAACGAACAAACAAGGAAAAAAAGAAAAGATATGTAGACATTGCCCTTTTACTGCCGCTTGCCATATTTAAAGAAGAAAAAGAAAAAGATTTTCCAATTCCCTCGTCCCTCTTCTCTTTCTTCGTCTTCTTCTTCTTTATTTATAAAAAACAGAGAGCTTGAGAGCAACTAGTAGTTTATACGAAAAATCCTCTTCGAAAATATATTTTCAGTCAAGTACTTACTATATATCGGTGCTAATGTACGGATTCCTCGATCTCTCGTACGTGTATTTGTATTTGACCAGAAGCCAAACCCTCAAATAAAATAATATATATATATATATATATATATATATATGTATATCGAACCTCTCTAGCCTTAAACCGCCTTTTGCATTGCATGCTTCTTTTTTGCCTTTCGTTCTCTCGCTTTTCTCTCTACCCTCGCAAATCCCCCACCCAACAAGTTTCATGACTCAACAAATCCAACTATATACGCAGAAGAAGAAGAACAGACAGATCAGGGATATATAGTAATCACGTATGTTGGAAAACCATCCGCCTGAATTACTGATAAAAGGTCAAGGGCGACTCGTCTCCAAATGGCCGTTGAAGCTCGGCGTCTCTGTCTTTTCACACCGCAGATTCTTGACAACAGGTGCCCAACTAACTCTGCGTTTTTCTTTTCCTGGTAGACTGACTCTTTTTTTTTTTTTTTTTCCGTTTTCTCTTAATGTACACCACCATATGGATTTGATTTGGGAAGCTAAAGGTAGAAAATCGTTTGTGGCCTTATGGGTTGGTTTTGCTTGTGCCAGGGGAATGTTGAATGTGACTGCAGGTGTGAATAATAATTTTAATACTATTAATAACAACATGATGTATGGCGAGCCCTTTGGTGCGACTACCACCACCACCGCGGCGGATGCACTGATTCCTCCTGCTTCCATCAACGGTAAGACTGTTGCGGCAGATTGGACTCCGGTGAAAACGGCAATGAAGTCGGACAGTGGCCTTACCTGTTCCATCCCTATCCTGGCGTCAAGGAAGCGCCCCAGAGATCCCTCCTACGCCGGAATCGCCAACTGCCACCGCAACTTGCTCCCGTTTCCTGCCAATCTTAACAGTAGTGAACGCTGCACTTCCGTTGCGACTTTCTTGGGAGAAGACACCTCCTTACGCACCCAGCAACACCAATTGGAAATCGATCAATTCATCTCCCACCACGTGAGAATCCTGCCTACTAGCGTGTTTTTGGTTTGTTTACATCCAGTCGATTTAAAATTTTTTACCCTTTTATTTTGAAATCTTGGGTGTTGGGCTATTTGATAATTTAACAGGCGGCGAAGGTGAGAAAGGAAATTGAGGAACAGAGAAAGGATTATTCATTGAGGGTAATAAGGGCGGTGGAGGAGAGCTTGATGAAGAGACTGAGAGCGAAAGAGGAGGAAATCGAGAATATGGGGAAATTAAATTGGGCATTGGCGGAGAAAGTTAGGTCGTTGTGCGCAGAAAACCAGATATGGAGAGAATTGGCGCAGAGCAATGAGGCGACGGCAAATGCATTGAGAAACAACCTGGAGCAGGTGGTGCTGGCTCAAGCCCAACAAGTCGAAGCTCAATTGCATTATAAAGCGGAGGGCTTGATGGATGATGAAGCGCAGTCATGCTGCGGAAGCAATTACTATTTGGATATGGGAGGAGGAGGAGGAGCAGGGGCAGAGCAAGTGGAGCGTAATCGTAGCAATAACGATGACATTGGTAAGCGTGCAATAAACGAGGAGGAGGAGGAGGAGGAGGAGGAGGAGAGCGGCAGTGGCAGGAGGAGGAGGAGGTGGTGGTGCAGGGTGTGCAGAAATTGCGGCAAGGAGGAGGCGAGCGTGTTGCTGCTGCCGTGCAGGCACCTGTGCTTGTGTTATGCTTGCGGGCCTGCCCTCGACTCATGCCCCGTTTGTCTTTCCACCAAGAACGCCGCCCTTCACGTCAACTTGTCCTCCCATTCCTCATCCACCTAGGTTTTTTCAGTTTTTTTTTTTTCAGTCTTAATTTGTCGACTGATAGACGGAGATAGAAAGAAGAAGAGAGGGATCTTGGAAGAAATTTTAGATATGGTAAGAACCAATAAAAAAGAAAAAGGAAAAAGAATATTTTCCATTGACTTCCTATATATATATATATATTCCTTAATTAATTACTATATATATGATTCTTGGTAGTATTAGATTTATATGTTGAATTTGTTTAGGAGGAGGAGGCAGACTATTTTAAATCTGACCGTGTGTGCGGCATGGCACATCACATGGCATGTATTGCTTCGCTTTGTTAGCAGCAAGCAAAGGGTGCGAGAGGTAGTAGTAGCAGTACCGAGTGCTGGTTTCGAAAGTGGGTCGTTCAGAATAAAGTCTGACACGTAAGTGCGCGCGCAAATGTCGCTGGTGTTTCGAGCAGCCATTTATTATTGACCCACCGCGAGAGGCTCTCGGATTGACGTCTATTATCCTATCTGCCTCTTGCGTTTGGGTAATTCATAATAGTATTGAAGAGGGACGGAAATAGTAGGAGCCTTCAATCTCTAATCCAGTCTCATTGACCCAATTAAAAAATACACTGCTAACCCCGGCTCCTTCATGCAAACAATCATGCTTCTTCACCTTTCTTTTTTTTTTTTTTTTTTTGTTTTGTTTTCGGGACTAATCTAATTTGGACCTGTAGTCTTCAATGTCATGTGGCGCCAGCACTACAGTCGGAGTGAAAAAAAAAAAAAAAAAAACGTGCAACCACAAGACGATTATACTCGCACTAGTTACAGTAAAAAGCCATGCAATCCAAATTAAGCGCGGTTGAAAAATCCTCTTTTTTCTAAAATAGCACCCAAAAAAGATTAAAAAAAAAAAAAGTGTGACCATGTAGTGGGCTTAACGCGCCTCCATATAACATATGTTCTCATTTTATTAAAAATGGTTAGTATTAGTCAAATTCAGGATGATCATATTTTATTTTTGTTTAATGAAAAGAGACACGTGTCGCCACTAGAGATGACCCAAATCCACTGTGTGGTTTGCTTAACAAGTACTAGAAAGGCGATGATGATGATTGGGCGATGACACGCTAGTACTGCTACGACTCTGTGCTTTGGCAGGGAGATACTCAACCGGCGTAACTAGCTGTGTGTGTAAGTTTATTCCGTTTCAAAAAAAAAAAAAAAAGAGACTAAGAGATACTCAAAGAGTAGAATGCAGATGCGGGAGGAGGACGGGTGAATTGTGAAGTATTCTCTCCGTTTCAATTACTATTTTGTCAGTGTTATGTTTTGAGATTTCAATTTTTTAATAATAGTGATTTGATGGTGATATTTATAATTTTATTTTTATAAATTTAAATGATAACATGCATATAATTAAAATAAAAAATTAAATAATATTATAACTTTCTCAACACGATAAATATTTTAAAATAAAAAAAAATGAGAGAGCGAACGAAGAATGTTTGTAAATAGGTGCACCATTTTGCAATAAATATAGATGCTGCTACGTAACGACTTCAGTCAAAACTTTTGGAGTCACGCAGAGCCCTGAACGGTCAAGAAAAATAGGGGCCGACCAAGAATATCAGTTGGTGGATGTGTTTTCTCTGAACATCGGCTCGCCACGAGTGCCGCCAAAACTAGAAAGGCTGGGAACAAACATCCATGTTTTCAAGCTAGCTATTACGGTAGTACTAAAAAATGCGTCGAAGTATTCATGACATGTGTCTGTCAAATCCCAATTTGAAGCAGCAAAAAAAAATCCCTTCAGGCATTGAGCGGGGAGATTACGTATCACGCTGGGGTTCTGGCACGGTCAAGCATGTAGTAATATATACTGTAATTTGGGTGGTGGAATCCATCATGGCGTTTCTGGGCGATTTGTCATTCCCATTTGCTGGACCAGGACAGGACACACACAGACTTCTTAGTACTCCCAGATGGAATTAGACATGAGACGAGACAAGGACACTAACAGCTGCTGCCCCATATGGATATGATGATGATATGCATGCATGGTTGGAACTTGGACCAAATGTACAGACAATTAGACTTAGTTAATTCGATTTAGACCACTTAATGTATTCTACCGCTCCATCGGTTGGACCTCGAAAACACAGTACTACGACTACAAGGGTACAAAAGTACCACTGCGGCTACTGGTATAAATGTACAAAGGAAACGAATTGACGACCGACCGGCATGCGTCAAGATCAAATACTTGTATCCCGATTGCACTGAGATGATAGCATCTGAAAACAAAAAATTCCGATCCCAAGCTGTAAGAGTTTTACGCCAAGTCACCATCATGGCGCTGAACAAAACCAAAACATATACTGCTGACAAAATCACATGCGGCATTATTAAACTTTGACATTGCATGTTTCTTACATAAAAACTTCATCTCCCAGACACAGTAAAATCTCCTGTATGGTAGGCCTCGCTCCAGGGGACTTGTTTGTGCACGCCAAACCGATCTCCAAAACTTGCAAAGCCTGCCCTCTCTCTTTTCCTTGCACACAGAATTCAAAATCCTTGTTAGGCCCTTGCAGCAAGTCCAAAATGATGATCCCAAAGTTGTAAACGTCACTTTCCTGGCAAAATACTTCACCGTGCTCGAAATTCGGCTGAGGTTTACGCTGCCAAGCGTCGCCGACTTCCACCCTCTCAGCCAGTTGGATGAAGCCGTAGTCGGACAAGCGAGCAGTGAAGTCTATATTGATCATGACGTTAGAGGCTTTGATGCTCCCGTGCACATTCGACTTCAAGTGCTTCGCCTCTTGCGAAGAATTTCTCGAATGGATAAATTCAATTGCTCGTGCAACGCTCAGAATTATTTTAAGTCGTTGATTCCAAGTTAGAGCTGTTTGATTCTGCTCCCTTGCACCTTCACAAATCACAATAGAGAGAGGAATTTTATTTTATTTTTAGAAAAAAGAAGTAATTAATTTAGAACAATAGGTAGAAAGTACCATTTGAAGTGCATAAATATATTAATCTCGCATATATATCCAGAGGAAAACATTTTAAGCCTCGCACGGGTATCGCTCTTAATGTGCTTGATATATAATTATCACCATAGATAAGAACAGTAGTTATTGATATTGACATAATATATAGAAGTAAGCAACTCTAAAGACTAGAAAGATTTAAGACCATGCATATATTGATAATCAATGGAATTACTATTTCTTTGGTGAATGGAAAGGTTGATTGAAAAAATCCTTGTTTATATGTAAATCCGAAACGAACTGAATTCCAAGCTAAGAAAGATAAGTTAAAGTAATTACGTTTCCTTCTAATTCACAGTACTGTAGGACAATTACGCACTGATCTTTTTAATACTAAGGGATTACAGGAAGACAAGAAGCAGGTTGGTTATTCATCAGTAATTTGTATTGGCGTCATATCTGTGATTCGTAAAACTTACTGGCCAGCAAATCAGCAAGGCTTCCCATGGGATAATAATCACAGACAACGAACTTGATCCTCTTACTGTAGAAATAAGCAGCGACAGGAACAAGATAGTCGGACATGCTGCTCACTAAACCCACCCGCACGATTCTCCTCCCAAACTCGCCCCTCCTCAAACTAACCTTCCGAAACCTCTTCAGTGCACACATCCTACCATCCAGCAGCACCACTTTCTCCGTAAACCCCAAACGGCTCTCGCCCACCACTGCCACCGATGATCTGAGCACCTGCCGAAGGGTCAAATGCTGCGACTCGGCCCAACCGCCCTTATGATCACTACCATCACAAGAGATCAGTGGGAGGAGGTCATCCGTGAAACCTCCATACTCGGAGAGTGTGGACGCTGCTGATCGGCAGCTATCTTCTTTCTCCACTCCGTGAAAGCTCCTTCTAGGCTTGCTATTCAGAGCCCTTGACAGCATTGTTTTTTCCCTGGAAGGGTTTTCATTGGCCCGAGTTTAAATGCAGTTGTTGTTGTTGCTGCACCTTTGATTGCATCGATACGCGGCCATTGTTGTAGCAAATGCGCATTGAAATCCACTCCAAAATGTTGACACTGATGACTTAGCAGTATTATTGCATTTGTTTTGTAGACCGAGTCGTGTATATGGGATCTACGTCTTGCTATAAACAATTGATCGAATGCGAGTAAATGTAGACGAATGAGATCAGAGGAGTGCGAAACTATGGCAGAGGAACGAATTAAGTACTGCTATTGCTTTTCCGTCTTCTCGAAAGTTTTCAGGGCAAGTTTTTTCGGGTTTGCTACGAAAATGATTTCCATTTACAATATAATTATTTGAAGAAAAAATGTTATGATTCCTTTAGAGTACAATTCCCGTAATGTATATCTTTTCAAGGATGATATTAGTTTAAATTTAAAAATTTTGTATATTGGGCCTAAAATATTATTTATTTTACCATTCGGCAGTGGTTTCGATTCTCAGGTCTGTATAGTACAGAATTTCGTGCGACTTGTTAGGATGACATTAAGGCTGGTTCGGAGCTTATTTTCGTTTCACCTGTGTGATTGAAAGGTCTTTTGTTGCTTTCATGATGACACCCTATTCTCGAAAGACACTTTTGAAGGTCTGGGAATTGTCCTAAAAAGATAAAGACAATCAACCAAATCCCCTATCCTATTCCCCGGTTGATTGAGAATCCAACTATAGCTAGATGGAACTCCGTCCTACCAAATTAAAAGCATTGCAACAACTCGATACAGCCGACCATCTAATCCCTTTATAACTGTATGGTAAGTGAGGACGAGTATCTGCCTGTCTTTCGAAAAATCATATAATAATACTAGTAAGAGAAGATAAGAATCCACAGTTGATGGCATGGCAACACTAAAAAGGGCATAAAACCATTCACTCAGCTCGAAATTACACCACAAACAACGACAACATCTACTGTTCGATTATGCTACTCGATCCACTTTACAATTAATAATGGATTTGGCTCATAGGTAGAGTGAGGCTAGAGATAAAAGAGCTTCTCTTATTATTATTATTTTTTTTAACTTCGAATGGAAACACTCCTTCTCCCACCAAGGATGCAGCAGTATTGAATAGAAAAACAAATTAAAGAATCACAAAGAAGGGCCGTTTCAACTATATTCCCTACATGTCTGTTATATGGATTGGTTGTGAAGTGTAAACATCAGCCTTCCCCACTTGGACGAAATGCATGTGCAAAGACTATCAAGATTCAGAACTCACTCGTCCCATTGACGAGAGGGCACTGGGGATTTGCGGTCGCGATACTCAACTCAACTTCACCACCCCAATCTCTCCACTGACATCTGCCCAGCCCAAAAAAAAAAAAAAAGAGGTGTGATTTAGGGTGGTGGTTAGTCTTTTTAGTAGTGTTGCCCAATGCAGACGAGGAGGAACACAAAGACAAAGCGCTCATGTGTGTGTGTGTGTGTGTGTACAGTGTACACTGCATGATGGAGAAAGATTTAGTGGGCACCCATGATACGACATTTTATCGATGAGAATAATCTTACCCATGACCAGTAGAAAGATGTCCTGTGTTTTAAATCTTGCATCCTTTTCTCTGAAAGTTGCCCACTCGACAGCAAATTAGACCCTTTGACAGAAAAAAAGAAAAAGACAGCCAATTAGACAATGACTTGAGAAGGAATCAGCTATAACCAATACTACCCGCCAAATTTGTAGGCCATACGATACGTAGTAGTAGTACTGTATGTCATGATCGCCAACATTGGAATACAATTAAAGTTTTGTGTCGTCAAACTAACAACTCAATGCGTAAATGGAGCAGAGGGATCTCTTGGAGGGAGGTCTTGGCCCACCATTTATTTGCTGAGTCATAGAATCTTAGAGAAGCGCGTGCCTAAACTGTTTCATCAGTGTTGATTTAGCTCCTAACTTTCATTCCTAATCAATTTGATACTAAACTTATTTTGTGGTTCCAATCAAGAATCTTCGTGTCGGCACTACTGCACACTTAAATCCGATTTGGCTCCTAATTGATCAACTAAACAGAGCAATTTTGGAAACGTCACTCATGGAGCTATAATAGATCAAGTAAATCATATAAAATATATATATATATATATATATATATATAATTCCTTATTTTGTAACGGTCCCATGAATGACATTTCCATAAGAATCGTGTTTAGACAGTTAATTAAAAGCTAAATCGATTTTAAGCCGCGGTGTCGCCACGGAGGTCTTTAGTTAGAAATGCAAAATAAGTTCAGCATCAAATTGACCAAAAATAAAAGTAAGGGACTAAATAGGCACTAGAAAAAAATGTTGAGAGACAAAATTGACCATATATCTCCTAGAATTTTGCAGGAAAAATCTTTTTTTTTTTTTGTCCCTGAAGTTTGATGAAAGATCACCAACATTTTGGTGGTCCTAATATTATAATTATTTCACGGTCCATAAAACACTTGGTTTGGTTGGATACGACGAGCACACATAATTATTATGTTCAACATTTACTAGGTAAGCATGAAGCTGGCCAACTAATTCATCAGCATATAATATATACGTATAGATGCATTGGACCGGTCGAGTAATTTTATCCATAGAGCTAATTTTTCTCAGTACGACCTGACAAATTCAAGCCATCATGGTTCACAAGTTGAAAAATTAGAAGTACATGTTCTATAATATGCCATCGATCTGCACTTAATATGAAACTGATGTCTTACCAAACAAATCCCGATCCTGTTCTGTTCTGTTGCAGCCACCATTTATGTCATTCCCTGCAAAGCAAACAGAGTCGCAAACAGGCAAGGTCAATCATACCTTGTGATTGTTTGTACATCCTCTAAAGAAAACTCGAAGAGTCGAATGATATAGGTCATTCAACTTCATTACTTGCCTTTGAATGAATCCTCTAATTTATCATTTTGTCATTCTTTCAGGTTCCGTGAGTGTCTTGGACACAGATCAGGTTCAATGGGGGAAATTTAAAAAGCATTTAAGTTTAACACTACGAAGAAAATGGCCCTCACGATATTAAATGTTACTTCATTTTATCAAATATATGCTCCAGTGACGAAACTTCAGCACAAAAGCAAATATACACGAAGATGAGGCAGAGCAGAGCTCCAGAAACTATTCCGGTCGCCAAAGACGGGAGAATAAGTCGACGTCTGAAAAGTTCTTTACGAAGAGAACAGAGAACCCTTTTTTTTTCGTAATTCCCTTGCGACCAATGAAGTCTAATTTCTATAGAAGTAAAAGAAAGAGCAAATGATACGTAACTAATTTTGAAAAAAAGAACAATGTTCTCGAGGTCAAAATTAGTTATATTAAAAGATTAAGGACTTCAACTAAATTATATAGAAGTCCCTAACCTACATCTAATTTTTGAAACAAACGCCCTCACTCCCAAATTTGGGCCATTTGCACAAAACCTGAGAGGAAGTCCATGCCAAGCGCGAGCTAGCTCCTCTTGTGTTCTCTATCAACATTGCCAAAGCCACCTTGAGAAATCGACACTGGATATTGATTGTGCTTTTAAGATTTCTGTTGTTCTACATAAAGAAAATTAGCAGCTAGAAGAAGCTAATACTATGCCTAAAAAATAAGGAAAGATGACCAATTCGACCGTTTATGTGTGCCATTTTTTAAAAATACTTCGTTCATAAAACCCTTTGTGTGACCCATGTGATTTTCTAATAGCATTTAACTCCTAAATTTAATAGAATGACCAAGAAATTGCGTTTGTAATAGTTGGGTGACATTTTTGGCTAAGAAAGCAAGTGGCATTTTTGGGGTAAGAAAAAAGTTAAGTGATGAAAAGCAATAAAAGACAATAGTTTGATGACATTTTACATCATAGTTTGATGACATTTTACATCATTTGCTCACAATGACGGAGTAAGGGGGGGGGGGGCTGATGAGGGCCATGACCCTCCCTAAGTTTCAAAAATTTTAATTTATAATACGTTAATATATATATATATATAACAGAATTGGCCCGTTTTAAATTTTTACAATTTTAGTTTTTATTATGAGAGCTTATACATATATATATTTAATTAAAGCTTTTAATTAAAGTTAATATTTAATTTTTTTAGATGTCATATATTTAAATGAATGAAAATTATTCTGAACACAACATATTAAGAAAATTTTGTATCCTCCTAAAAAAAATACTGTCTCCGTCACTGTTTGCTGAAAAAAAAAAAAAAAAAAGCTCAGAAACTAGCACGATATCAGGATTGTAAAGGATAAGATTCGGTGAAACAAATAAACGTGCATCAATCAAAACATCGACGCAACGAAATCTAGTTTTTCACTTGCAGCGTTCACACGTCCAGGAGCAACCAAAAAGGTGCATTTGGCGTCACTAAGTCTGTTCAATTGATGGAACAGACACCGGTAAATCCCCTTAAACACAAGGAAAGTCCAGCATCCTGACAAAATGTGCGTATGGAAAGGGAAAAGCAAAGAGATTTGCTGACAGCCAAGCCAGATTCAGCAATTATATCCAGTTCTGCAGCTCTTTTATTTGTTGCACAATTTTGTGATATCCGCGCCACACAACCGTCTGTGCACAAGAGAAAAGCCAATCTCCAATCTTGCATCTAATGATGGAAAAGGCTCTGCAGATGCTGTTGAAGAACATCATTGAACTACTTAATCGCACAATCAATGCACTTCTTCAGTGACTGTAACCTAAGAAAGCTACAAACAAGGAAAATAATATTTGCATCCAGATTACCAGGGCCCCAGAATCTGAGTTTATATGAATAGTATTATACAGAGGCAAGTATTAAACAATTTGAATGTTGAAATCATATCATGGAAAAGTAAAATGATTCTAGAATAGGCTACTCTGTACGACACCATACAATCATGAATACCATAATGTGATCATGCTTTCACAGAAACCGTCATGTTTTACATAGATAGTTGTTAACCATCCAATGCTAGTACACTGCGAGGAAGCATTCCTTGAACCCCATGAATACTTGAGGTATTCTGGAGTAAAACAAGTGCCTATCTCTCACACTAATTAAAAAACTTGTGGCAGATAAAAGTTGAGGTAAATGAAATCATAAAGCACCATTGAATTTTTTACCAGCTACAGTAATCCAGAAGCAACAATTAAGAAATGACACTAGTATTTATAAGAAAGGCACCTAACAACCAGATTACCACGTGGAATCTGGAGAAGAATTGTAGGATAAAAAAACCATAGAGCACTGTCAATTTGCAGAGGAACTCAAAATAAAAGCTAATGCAAATGTTACGATAT